GTGGAGTATGTGATTTGTTGTGCATCCCCTTTTTGTATCACAGGTGGATTTATTGTGCTGGATGGAGAGACCTTTGAGCTGAAGGGGAACTGGGAAAACGAGTGTGAGGCCCCCCCCACTGGATACGACTTCTGGTACCAGCCACGCCACAATGTTCTGATCAGCTCTGCCGGATTAGTCCCAAAACGTGCGGGACGTGGATTTAATCCCGACGACTTGAAGAAAGGTGAGGCAATAGGGATGCAAGCGCTGAGCCAGAACTGCCCGAGGTGGTGGGAGGGTGTCGATGCGGTCAGAGAGAGGGGACAGGAAGATTTCTCCCCAAACGGCCCATTTTACAGGCACTGCTACAGGGCGTGCAGCGTCTGTCCTTAAGAGAGGCTGGCCCCTGTCTTTTCCCGCTGCTCCCTAAATCACGGCAGTTTCTCTGCTAATTCTGGCTGGACGGTGCCATGGCCGTTGGTGTCTGTGAGCATTTGGGGAGGGGTGAGTCTCCATGGGTAGCCCCCTCTCTCCTGACTTGGTTTTCCTTTTCCTCAGGGGTCTTTGGGCGCCGCCTGAACGTGTGGAACTTGTCCTGCCGCACCCTCACCCAGTGCTTTGACCTGGGGGAGGACTCTTTGCCCCTGAGTGTTAAATTCCTCCACAACCCCGATGCTGCTGAGGGATACGTCAGCTGTGCCCTGAGTGGCATCGTCTACCGCTTCTACAAGTGCGAGGCAAGTATTCTGCCAGCAGCCACGGGAGACCCGGCCATGGTGAGCTAGAGGGTGATGGAGAAACGCGCAGAAGAAATTTGGGGTAGCAGAGAGAAAGAAGGAGGCGTGTGGAGAGGGCGGTATCCAGACCCTGCTTTGGACGTGTGTGCTAGAATGAGAGGAGTCTGTTCTTCCACTGAGTGTAAAAGCCCATCGTGACCAGTTGGGACTTCTTGGATGAACATCTGGGGGATTAATTGGAGCGATGAGGCCCAGCCTCGCTGTTGGTATCAGACGATGCTGCCCTTACTGGTGTCTGCTCGTAGTAGCTGGGTGCAGTGGTAGCCTTCCTCAGGCAGCTTTGCCTAGCTGTGCAAGTGTGTGAGGGCAGGGGAGCGCTCTTGCCTGAGCAGGCAGGAGCGCTCCTGGAGCGGTGCCTGTGTTTCTTGTACAGAGAGACAACTGGGCAGTAGAAGAGGTGATTCGGATACCGGCCAAGGACGTGACGGGATGGATTATGCCCAAGATGCCAGGTTCGTGTGCCCTGAGGTGGTGTTTCCTTTTTCCTCCCGGAGCTTTGTGTTGTGCAGCTTGGCAAAGGCCACTCGCTGACCCTCAAAGCCTTGCTGCGTAAACACGGCGGAAGGCTTGTCGGAGGGGCTGAGGGGCTGCGCACACCCCCAGGAAGACACTGCTGCCCCGGCTGGAGCCTGTGCACTTGGGCAGGTCTCCTGTGCTGGAGGCACGACGTACAGCATGGCAGGGAGAGATGCGAGCTGGGGCTCGAAGCAAGGCACGTTTTCTGTTGCTGCTGCCTTCTCTAGAGCTCTTTGTTTCTGTGCCCTAGCCTTCACAGTCGACCTCATCATCTCAACGGATGACAAGTACCTGTATCTCAGCAACTGGCTGCACGGAGACATCCGCCAATACGAGCTCTCCAAAACCTGCAAGCCCAGGCTGGTGGGACAGGTAAGGCAGGAGCAGAAGGGCTTGCACTGTTGGGCTCCCTAGCGGTATCTGGTGGTGGTTGGATGACAAGGCAACATGTGTCCCGCTGCCTGGCTTCCAGGTGTTTGTGGGAGGCAGTATCCTCAGAGGCGGACCCGTGACTGTGTGTAGAGACGAAGAGCTGAAGTGCCAGCCGGAGCCCTTGGTGATCAAGGTGAGTTCTGCGTCGTCTTTGCCCTCTGGTGTCCTTTGGACTTGGGCTCTGCTCTGCTAGTTCTCTGCCCAGGGTTTCTGGGGTGGGGCCCCGTTGCAGTGGCCCGTGTGTCTGCAGCACCTGGTAGCTTGCCTGTGTTAGAAGGGGAGGCAGCCGCTCTGCTCTGCTCTGCTCTGCTCCCCTGCCCCTGCTTGTGCTTGGCTGCTGAACGAAAGAAGCCAGTAACACCACTGCTGTCTGTTGTGCCTTCAGTGCAAGAGAGTGTACGGCGGCCCTAGTAAACTGCAGCTCAGCCTGGATGGCAAGAGGCTGTACGTCACCAACTCCTTCTACAGCACGTGGGACAAGCAGTTCTACCCGACCGTGGTCAAGTAAGAAACATGTGGGAGGAAAGGAAAGGGGCCTCTTTGGATGGGCTCTCTGTTAGAGAGGGGAAAGGCGCCTCATCTGGGGGGCTACAAGGACGCGTTTGTGATTGCAGAGGGACAGCTTTTCCTAACATCGTCCCCGCAGCTTCCTCACGTTGAATTTCACATGCAGTTGACTCACAAGCGTCTCTGGCTGGGCGAGGTGCGGCTGCTGCCTGTGCGGAGCGACAGTGCCAGGGTTTTGCTTGGGAGAGCCCAAGTGTTTCAGTCTGAAAGGTGGAGTGAATCCATCTGTGGATCTCTGAGAGCCAGGCCACGTCTCTGCCACAGCATCTCCCAGTGTATCCACCAGAGATGTTTTGATGTGGCAAAGCAGACGATGACCTCCAACACAAAGGCAAGCTCCAGCCTGCCTATCGCATCATGCCTAGCGGTTTACTCGCGTCCATTGAGAATTCAGGAAAAAAATGTGAGCGCTGGTGTATGCCGCTACTGAAACTGGGCCTCTGCTCCCTTCTCCCTGTAGAAGACAAGATGTTCAGGAGAAAGCCTCTTCCTCGATACGGAACAGGAGGCTGAAGAGCAGGATCTCTTGAGCAGGACCGTGGTTTGCTTGTCTGTAATAGCTGCGCTCTTGTCCCCTCGCAGGGAAGGCTCGGTCATGCTGCAGATCGACGTGGACACTGAGAAAGGAGGCCTGACCGTGAACAAGAACTTCCTGGTGGATTTTGGAAAGGAACCCAATGGGCCTTGCCTTGCCCATGACATCCACTTCCGTAGTGGGGATTCCACCTCCGACATCTTGGCCTAGGCGCCATGTGGAAGACTCCCTTCTTCTCTCTCTCTTCTGTAGTGCAGCCATTAAGAAAGAGCGTAGGGTAATTGGGTTTGGGGGTCCCCGTTCATTGCTGGAGTCTTGATTTCTGCTAACCTGAGCTACGGAAGCTCTGCCTTTTTGCGAGGGTTTGGTTCAGGCAGACCAGTGGACACATGGCATGTTTTCAGTGCAAAGCAACCCCTGGGCGTGGTTCGCAGAGCAGAGCCCAGGGCAGTTGCTCAAATGCAGAGATGTGCAGTACGCACAGTGCCTTTGGGCAGATACCTGCATACCCACCGTGCCTCGCTTCATTGCTACAGGCCTGTCGGACACCTGCCTTGATGTCCCCGGCCTGTTAGCTATTGCTGTCTAGTACCGGGGCCGGTAGCAAGGTGTTGAACTCTCAGTTACGATTCAGCGCTTGTTCACCCTTGAAAACTAAGGCAAAAGAAAGTGAAGTGCCCAGTTCGCCTGAGTTACTGTTCTTCAGCCGGGTCGTTCCTGGATAGTCTTCCCCTGGCACGAGAGCCCTCTTGGCTCCCTTCTCACGTGCTTGGGTCGGTACGCGTCACAGCTGAAGGAGTATGAAGTGCTTTATTTTGAAAAGAAGTGCCTGTTTCCCGACACTGGTTTGCTCTTATGTTCTGCTTTAAACAAGAATAAAATTGTTCTTTGCATCAGCTAGATCTTCACGTGTCTTACTGAAGCCTTTCAGATTTATTTCAGGGGAAAACAAACGCCAGCAGTGGTTAGTGATAAGATCAGGGTTTTGAAAACCCCTAAGACAGGACACTGATTGTGCCAGAGCGCCTGTTAGTCTTCTGGGAAGTTTCTGGTAGAAATTGTCTTTGCTCGTTCTTTTTTTTGTGTGCATTCTTGCAGGCACGGCTTTTATAGGGAAGCGCGGCAACCATTTGTTCTTTTTCTGCCCCAAACAAACGTACCTTGTCAAAGCAATGTAGTGTTGTCATCCCCCAAACCAACCATTTGGTTTTAGTAGGGCTTACTTTAAGATACGTGAAGGGCTGCAAGAACACACTTAGTAGACGCTCCAGTGCAATCCCGTGCGTTCGTTAAGCGGTTTGCTTGCTGCTGGTGAGAATATCGGTTTCAGCTTGATCGGTTCCCATGGACGGCGTAGTCTTAACACAGTTGAGGCAGAGTCAAGTCAGGGTTTTCACCCAAAGTACTCTGCATACAGTTAATACGGTGTTGGCAAAATGTCCTTAGTCCCTTCAGAATTCTCCATAGACTGTCCTCTTTCGCAAGATGTACTCGCTGGAGTTGTAGGTTGTTCTCCTGCTTATCACGTGCTGCGTAGGATGCCAAATCCCACTCGCCCAATGTAAGCCTGTTTGCTACACAGGAGGGCAACCACCGGCCTCCAAAACCCCGCTGCACACCCACACATCGTCCCATTAGTCCCGTTTGCCTTGAGCATCTTCGCGAGGGTACAATTTGCAGCCAAAACCGTAATGAGTTTGGAGGCTGCAAAAATTAGGATATAAAGAGGATCCTTCTAAGTTTTAGCCCTTTATGGATTTACCTTGGAGGAACACAACTTCATTTACTTCCTCACCCTGCTCACGGGCACGCATACTGCTCCAGCTCTCTTGTGCACCCTGGGGTGCTGCTGTTCAGCGTCACGATCACTTGCGTGTGACAGCCCCTTCTGATCCTCCAGCTTTTGCCTTGTTTGAGGGCCTTCTCAGGGGACGTCCCTGCTGTTGCGGTGGCTTTCGAATGAGCCTCATCTCACCTACCTTCAGACCCTACAAGGCACGTACCTCACTAGAGGTGCCTCCTCCTCTCCGCTGGCTGGAGGGAGAGTCTGGCCAGCAGACATCCCCATGCCAGCGTGCGGTCCAGATGGCTGGAGGTAGCTGAGCTGAATCCGCCCTGGAAACCCCTCCTCGTGATGGGGCCGGGCACCATCCACATCAATGGAGGGAAGAGCTCCCTTACCTCATGGCCGTGTTTACAGGGTTGATCAGAGAGTCTGCTGTCTCTTACGCTCTCAACTGAGCACCCTCTCTGACCTGCAGGTGGTCGCACGGCAAGGCGAGGACTCAGCCCGGGCTTTGAGCTGCAGCTGAGCCACGAAGAGCAACAGACAACGCGGCAGGGGTGACCCAGCTCCTCGTTCCACCATCAGGCCATGCTCTGCCCAAGTTGGATGGATGTGGACGTATTTCTGCTGGTACGAGCAAACTCCTTCATCCCCTCCAAGGCCTGTTCCCAGGTCTTTGGGTCCTGACTCCCGTGTTTTGGGGAGCGTGGGCCTTTCCTCACCCTCGTGCATGAGTTATCCTGAGGAACGTGGAACGTGGTGCATCTGCAGCGGCTGAATGTGCCTCACCTGGGGAGGCGGTGAATTGGGCTGGCTGAAGTTGGATGCTTCGTCTGTTCCCTCTAGTGGTTATTTGGAAGATAGGCTTCTCCCTGGTGCCAGCACCCATCAAGTCCTTCGCAG